ATCTTTCTGACCCCAAAATTTAGAAAAGTAGTGTAGAAAACGTGTGGGGGAAAGGGCTTTTTCTGGGCCGAGTTATTAGCTTAATTAGTCAGTCTTGACAGAAGCAGGTTGTTTTATTGAAGGCATGATGTTCGAGAGAGAGGAACGTCACTGAAAGAGAGCAGGACACAACCCTCTGGCAACACAATACTCTTGAGAGACAAGTTTTTTTGTCTTTGAAACGCTGTGCTGAGCCAAATCATACCTGACATGCTCACTCCAACTTCCCCCTGCTGTCTTGCTTTGTTTCAAGAATTTAAGAATAGCTGTGAACGTGTGACTTTGTGTGCTTGTTTGTAACTGATGGACTGCATCGGTGATGGTGTTTTGATTCTGACTGTGGAAAAGTTTGATTGAAGGAGGGTTTGTGATCGAGGTATAATGTTTGAAGTAAAACTTTTGGAGTGAATATTACTGTTGAATGACATAATATGCCTAAGTTAAATTTGTTGCACAGTTGTAACACAAGGATAATGTTTCAGGTGAAGGTGGCCATTTTGAAGTACATAGAAACACTCACACTACAAATGGAGCCACAGGATTTTGTCAACTCGAGCGAAACCAGACTGGCAGTGTCACGTATTATTACGTGGACCACCGAACCCAAGAGCTCCGACGTCAGAAAGGTACAAATGAGACATTACACAAAATATATTTCCTGTGTTTTCAGCTTTATAATGTGAGCTCTCAGTTTATTTATATTTTGTTTTAGATCTGTTCTGATGGTGTTGGTTGGTTTGAGGGTCTAATTATGTTCTTCATTTGTAGGCAGCACAGTCTGTGTTGATATCGCTGTTCCAGCTGAACACACCAGAGTTCACAATGCTTCTAGCTGCACTGCCTAAAACCTTTCAGGATGGAGCCACCAAATTATTGCAGAACCACCTACGGAACACAGGCAACACAGCCCAGGTGATAAACACGTTATTAATATGTACTGTATAGTATCTTATACCACCCACAATTCTACTTGGATCAGCCATAAACATGCTAGAATAATGTGAAATATGATAGAAATGTGATACTGTCCTGTAGGTATCTTTTTAAATGATACAAATTAAGCTGTAAATAAAAGTATTAATATTATTAAATTGTTAAATGCTAAGTAAAATAAATATTAAATATTTTGACAGTAGGAAATTATTACAGTATTAATATATTTCTTTAATTTTTATAATTTAAATAGTAATCAAATAAATATATATTTTTAAATACTACTACTACTATTATTATTATTATTATTATTATTATT